ATTGCTTTCAATGAAGGAAGGCTGTTATAAGGAAAGGCAGCCCAGAAACTTTCCCAGTAGCACACATCATTATGTGCCTAAACTTTCAGTCTAATCTGCCATTTTTTCTTCCTTGGTTAGGTTTGAGGATTAGAGATCTGATCTAGATTATCATATTAAAATTAGTATTTAATTTTACCGTTTTAGCCTTAGAGCATGGCTTTTTTATTTGACCCTGGAAAACCTGGATTTTATCATTTTTCCTGTGATCGACTGTCCTGGGGACCTGACTTACCAGCCTAACGCGAGCCCTCGCTGCCCTCTGCATGTACTACTGTTTGGCCTGTCACCGCTGTCAGGGTCTTGTGTGTGGATAAGAAGAAGAAGACCCAAACGCAGGACTCACGGTGCAGGATAATGGTGTTTATCGGAAAGGATGATGCAACGAGAGCAGGAGATGAATGGCTGGCTGACTGGACTGGACTGGACTGGACTGAACTGAACTGAACTGAACTGAACTGAACTGAACTGAACTGAACTGAATTGAACTGGCTGACTGACTGAACTGAACTGAAAACAAACAACATCAATGGCAAGACAGTGAGCGAGTGGAAACTGAGGACTTAAATGCACTGATGAGGATGATAATGAGAGACCGGTGAGTACACAGCTGAACTTAATCAAACTAACATCACACAGGAAAGGAACTGGCACAACAAGACAGGAAATATGAACGAGTGAGAAATAAACTCAACATGAACAAACTGAAAATACAACCCAGGAACCCTGACAACCGCATTCAAGTATCTCTCTTCTAAAGCTGTCGACAGTGTGCACAGTGTCAGGTAGGTAATCACATCTACTTTTCTGTCACTGGACTGCAAATCGTGGCCCAGTGGCATGCTGGCTAACGCGGTTTAACTTGGCTATGTGATCAAATGGAGAAACTATGATTCCCTTTTTAATATATAGATATGTGCATATTTGCATGTACACATATATTTTTACAAAGATATATGGATGTCTCACAATGTTTTCTATAACGTTTTCATCTTATCTATTTTAATTATTTTTATTTGTTTATATTATCCCTCTGTGCAGCACTTTGGCCGTCACTTTATGTCCTTTAAATGTGCTATATAAATAAAGTTGACTTGACTTGACTTGACTACTTACAGAGCTTTGTTAGAGGCTTTGACCAATGGGAGCAGCCTAAAAAGAGCCTCCTCTGAAGGAGAGTATTTCTTCAGGTCAAACACATCCAGATCTTTTTCTGATGACAGTAAGATGAAGACCAGAGCTGACCACTGAGCAGGAGA